AGAGCAGTCAGTGCTCTTAACCTCTGAGCCATCTCTCCAGCCCATATTAGTTCTTAAGAGTTGACCAGATGATATACATGGTGTGTGTGTGTCTGTGTGTCTACCAATCCATTGGCTTTTAGACAGTTCCTTTCCTGTGCCATTGTTTCTGAGCTCCTGCTGTTTTGTAATTCAGGAGTAGGGAATATTCCTTTGAGTTTAGAGCAGCCGTAAGTGTTACCCTGCATCCCAAAATCACCTTGAGTTGCAGCTCCTAGGACCCTAAAGTTCATGAAAGTTCACGGCAGACTGCAGAGGAACTGAAGCCCGAGTGCCAGTGTCGTGCCCTCTCTTTGGAAACTCTCCCCACTCAGAGACGTTACATTACACTGTTGCATTGCTGGTGTTTACGTTAGCACCTTGCCCCTGCATTCCGTTTGTAGATACCTCGATGACCTCAATGAAGGAGTTTATATCCAACATACCTTGGAGACCGTGCTGCTCAATGAAGATGGAAAACAGCTGCTGGTAAGTAATGGGAACTGTAAAGTCATACTCAAGAACGTGAAACAGCTGGGTGGGCGTGGTGGCAGTCAACGGCAAGTGGATCTCTGGGAGTTCGAGGCCAGCTTAGTCCACACAGCAAGTTTGAGGACAGCCAGAGCTATATAATAGACCCTGTCTCAATAATAGTAATAGCGATATAAAAAAAGCATCAATATATACAGCATACCACTCCTCAAAGAAAAGAAAATAGCCTGATAATTGTCTTCTGAGTTGAGAGTGTGAGGGTGTCGTATGAAATTACTCGTGCAAGAAAAGACATGTTGGATTATAAGCTTCCTCTGTAGAAGGAGTCCTTCTTTGGGGTTGAGGGTTTAGCTCAGTGGTAGAACACAAGAGTGCTTGCCTAGCAAGCATAAGGCCCTGGGTTCAGTCCTCAGCCGGGTGGTGGTGGTGGCAAACACCTCTTATCCTAGCACTTGGAGGCAAAGGGAGGCCGATCTCTGAGTTCAGGTTCCAGGATAGGCAGAGCTACACAGAGAAACCCTGTCTCCAAAAACAAAAAGAAAGAGAAGTAGTCCACCTTCTTTTTACATCCAAGGCGTGGAGCTGGTACTTAGTACATGGTGACTACTTAAGAAATGTCTGTTAGAGACAGTGTGGTGCCAGGTCTATAATCCCAGCCCTTGGGGGGGTAGACACAAAAAGATTAGTTCGAGGTCATCCTTAGTGATAGAATTGAGATTTCATTCTGATGTCACTAGCAAAATAATCACTAGGAACTGAAATTTATTTGGGGTCAGTTTTCAAAGCCTGCTCTGCACAGCGGTTGAGAGCCCTTTGCAGAAAAACGTGCGTTTACTTTGAAGTATAAACAGCTCTTAGGAGGAATGGGACCGAGTGATCGTTTGTGCCGTTGTCAGCTTGCAGGCAGGCAGCCTAGTGAATTCGGCCATTGTCCTTTGCCTTCACAGTGTGAAGCCCTATACTTATATGGAGTTATGCTTCTTGTCATTGACCAGAAGATTGAAGGAGAAGTCAGAGAGAGAATGCTGGTTTCTTACTATCGATACAGGTATTCCTGGCCTAACCCGAGTACCCCCCAGTGCTGCTGCTGACCCCCTGTACTGTGTGCTCCTGCCCTGGTGGGAGCGGTGGCCTGTGGTGACAGATGATGAAGTGCACACATTTCTGAACACACTGAAGGAATATGGCTTTACCTTCATGTATTATGATTAACAGACTACATCCCGGAAAAACTATGTAAAATGTAAAATGCTGTATGCAAGACATAGCAATATACAGAGATGAAGATAATGATGCAGTTGTCATAAAGCAGGAATCGGAATTCTGAATGTTTTCACTTGAGGATAAATTGTAAGGAATTTTGAAATTCTTTTTTTTTTTAAGATTTTTTATTTATTTATTACGTATACAACATTCTGCTTCCATGTCTATCTGC